GAACACAGAACTCCAGATGAGGTCTGACCAGCACAGAATACTGTGGAACTATTACTTCCCTTGACTTGGAAACTATGCTTCCATTAATGCAAGCTACGGTAGCATTTGCCTTTTTTGCTATAACATCGCACTGCTGGATCATGTTCAATTTATGATCAACAATAATCTCAAATTCCTTTATCACATGTAGTAGTTGCTGAGGCAAGTATCCTCCATCCTATACTTGTGCATTTGTGTTTTGTGGCATAAATGTAGAATTTTGCTTTTCTCTCTCTTGAATTTCATTTTTATTAATTTCAGCCCAGTTTTCTACTTTATCAAGGTCCCTTTGAATTCTGTTTCTATCTTCCAGTGTGTTACCTATACCTTCCAATTTTGTATCGTCTGCAAATTTGATAAAGATTCCTTCTACCTCATCTTCTACATAATTGATAAAAATATTGAACCCTGCGACACTCCACTTGAGACCTCCAGTTTGAAGCACAGCCGCTGATGGCAACTTTTTGAGCATGGTATCTGATGGTGTTTCCATCTATTCCATATTTAGTAAGTTTGCTAATCAAAATATAATGGAGGATCTTATGAAATGTTTTGCTGAAATCTAGATATTTAGTAGTATTCAGCCTGGTCTGCCAGAAAGCTCTGGGGCCTCATGAAACTACATATGCCAGGATTCAGTAGGATAGAGTCATGGCCTTTAAAGTGATGTCAAACTGCTTTAATTCTGCAGTATGGATACACCTTTAGTTAGTTTTCTCCTTCCCACCCAGTCTTTGGGGCACCAGGGCTCACCATCTGCTCTGCTCTGCATTCACCTTCTTGCTAGAACCTGTCGGCTTATGGCAGCCACATGAATTTCTTAGGCAAGTAATACTCAGAGGTGATTTTGCAGTGGAAGAAGCAATTGGCTACATTAAATGTTCTTTATCCTGTCTTCCAAAGATGAGAACAAATATTTGCCTCATTTCACCTTAATCTGGAAATAGCCCCTTCAGCTAAGATTTCTTTCTTAATTTCCGAACAAGAAAATATGAGGGTAGAGAGGCACTTCAATTACAAGCCATGAGCAATTGTGGCTCATACTTAATGGATAAAGCTTAATGATATCACCAGGGGCTGCCAAGGTCTCAGGTTTTGGCCTGAAAACCTCAGGGCCTGGGATGATCCTGAACTGGCAGCTCTAAAACAGCAAAAAAAAATTTCCTGCCCACTACCATTGGAAACTATTACATTCTGCCTTGATACCAGCATATCTGAAACCCAAGGTTGGCAAATTAGAAAAATCCAACCTCATTTATAATTAAGCTACAGTTAAGGACACTACGGAAATATCTCTAGAAACCAAAGAACCAAACTCTGAAGGAAAAGAGGCTGGGTCTTAATTACTTCTCTAGGGGAAGGAAATAACAGCAGACATTTAAAAAGAAAAAAAGAAGAAACAGACAGTTGCATGTTTTTCTCTGTGGGCTTGGATTTAACTGGAAGTTGGTTAATGCTTCATAAGGCAAAATATATCAGTGGACTATCTTGCTATAAACTTGTATTTCTGCATTTATGTCAAGCACCAACAGCACTCCTCAGGGAGCACTTACTCTTCAGGGAGCTGGTTACTGTTTTATGTTTTGCACCTGTCCATTTGACAAATACAGAATATGTACACCTCTCACATGAAGGGCAAGTATGTGCAAAATTCAGTGAGCATTTCAAAATATCCCAAAGTCCAAGAAAAGATAGAGTCCCAGGATGTATATATATACTGCAGAAATAATGCAGTTTGACACTGCTTTAACTGCCATGGGTCCATCCTAAGAAATCCTGGGATTTATAATTTGTTGTGTCACCAGAGCTCTTGCTGAGAGAAAGCTGAATATCTCACAAAACTACAAATCCCAGAATTCCATAGAATTGAGCCATGGCAGTCAGAGGTGTTAAACTGCATTATTTCTGCAGTTCAGATGCACCCCCCATTTCTGTATTTTAAAAGGGATAATCACTTACCTTTACTCACACAAACATGTACTTCAGATATGTGTACAGTGGGTCCTGGGTATCCACTGGGGTTTGGTTTCAGGACCCTCCGTGAATACCACAATTCGTGGGTGCTCAAGTCCCACTGTATACAATGGCATAGTAAAATGCTGTCCCTTATATAAAATGGCTAAATCAAGGGTCACTTTTTGGAATGTATACATTTTAAAAATATTTTCAAGCTGTGGATGGTTTAATCCATGGATAAAGAACTGTGGATACAGAGGGCCAAATGTATTTTGCATTCACATATCCATACCTAAATGTTGAATGTAAAGTGAAAATCAAACATCATTTGTTCAAAATGCTGTACATACCAACAACATCAATCTTACCTATATTCACAAAAGCTCTATAAGGTAACTTGAGTATTTGTGGGGAAGACAGTGGCCCATGTTGCTCACAAGCTTCACGAACTGAGTGGCAACATGAATCTGGGTTCCCTGCAACCTGACTCAACCAAATCTTTACTTGATCTTTCCCTTATGCCAACACCGCAGCAGAACACTTTCAACATTTGCTCCATTGTATTAAAGTGTCCATATGCCACATTCCTTAAAGGGATTTTAAAAAACACACGGCTCATTTGATCATAGCATTGCTTTAAGTGTGCATCATTACCCACAAACAGTCATTATGCTGTTGGCAGGGGAACGTAGGGTTATGTTATCCGTTGGATCCATGTGCCACAGTTGGAGAAAGGCTAAGGCAATTCACACAAAAAGGCTTCTATTGAACAGATATTGGTAAAATAGTTAACTGCAAAGATTACAGTGGTATTTCTATTCATGAATATAAGTATGAATCCTTCTTTCTGCATGTGTATGTAACCATCAAGGGAGCATCTGTCAAGGGTCAGGGGCTGTATGAAACTTTGGATGGCCATACTCCTCCTGCCCTGATATGCCCCCACTCTGCCTGACCATGTCTTACTTTTCTTTATTTGACACAAAATGCCTAACCATACCCCCAGGTGATTTTGGATTGAGTTCCTATTGAAAAAGCAGGGACAGTTCTGGGCCAAGAGGGACCAAAAACATTCATCCTCCAAAACACTTGGCAGAGACAGTCCTGATTAATCTTTCAGCAGTATTTAAAATATTTCATATTCTTTTTCCTCCCACTTTCCCCATTCATCACTGGCTTACTTCAATTGCTACAAACTGAAGCTGTGTCTGCACTGATGGGAAAACCCAGCTTACCACTGGGGCTTCCGGATCCATAGGAGGGAGGATGAGCTGTCCACACAACCAGCACCCACAATGTGCTGATACAGACAGCACTGTCTCTTCACTCCCCCAATTCAGCAGTTTGCTCGGCCCAGGGCACTTCTTCCTGACCTCTTCTGCCTGCCCACTGATGCTCTTCAGCCTCCATCCCTGCACCAGCACACAGTCCACACCAGGGGTAGGCAACCTAAGGCCCGGGGGCCGGATGCGGCCCCCTGAGGCCTTCGGATCGGCCCCAGGCTGGTCCTGCCGCCGCCGCCGCCCACCATAATGATATTATTGTTGTTATTACTTGTTCTTGGGGTTTTCTTGGCAAAATCTCCACAGCGGTTTTGTCATGGCTTTTCTGGGGCTGAGAGAGTGTGCATGCATATTTTTAAAAATGTTAATTTTTTAAATTTTATTTATTTATTTATTTTTGGTGCTTCAGCCCCCCCAATTGTCTGAGGGACAGCAACCCGGCCCCCAGCTCAAAAAGGTTGCCTACCCCTGGTCCACACGCTCAAGGGATTATTGAAACTCTGGTTTCCAGCTTCATTCGAAGCAAATGGGAACTCTTTTTACTCCAGGGAATCACCCTGGAGCACAGATTGGACCCATCTTTAACCTGTTTTGGCCCCATGCGTCATCTAACAAGGTAAAAGTAGAAATGGGTAGAGATGTTTCTTTCCCTCCTTGCAGATATGGCCTGAATCAGTTTGTATTCAGTTAACTCATGGTAGAAGACTAAGGGAGAAAGATGGGGATTGAATCTTGCTCAAGGAAAACCAAACATAATTTGGCCACACATGTCCTGGTTTTCATCTATGAAATGTTAGAAGGTAAGAAAAACTTGGTGAACTTGTCTACTGTCCTGGGAAGGCATTTTTTGCATTAAAATTCTTTTGGGTTACTGGGGGATTATGCAGGGAGCCAGTGGGTCACACTTTCCCCACCCTGGTAGATGATCATAACAATATTCCTAAATATAAATATTAATATGAATTCTATTCAGATATAAATTTGTGACTGCTACCCACCATAGAAAAAGAAATCTATTTCAAAATTTCTGTGTCAATGTGGGGCTGCTGAAAAATCAAAACTGGAGAGCTGACCTAGGCTGGTGAGTTGGACCACTAAAACAAACAAACAAACAAACAAAAACAAAACACAGATATACAGTGGGGAACACGTGGCTGAATGAGACTACGTGTGAAAGGGATCTAGGAATCCAGGTGGACCACAAGTTAAATTTGAGTCAACAGTGCGATGCAGCAGCTAAAAAGGCCAATACAATTTTAG